GAGATCGACGCAGGAAGAAGATTTGAGGAGTTTTGCCGGTTGTGCGGCAGTTCCGGTTTTGAGACGAGTTCGGTATTTCGCGAATCGAAAGAGTTCGCATCAGGCTTCGGAAGGAGGATCGAACGCGAAGGACGTAGGCAATTCTTTAACGGTTCGACGATCGGCAGTGGAGTCCAGCGAGGGAATCGCAGGAGTAGTTCGCAGTTCTGTGCTTCTTCTAGTTCTTCTAGTTTGTGTTGATTCCTGTTTTTATTCCGTTAAATTTCACAACAAACTCTAAAGCTCTTCACTGAGGTGAGCAACTACAAGACTCCCCTCTGGGCCGAGAAACTACAAGATTCCCCTCCAGGGGAAACAAACAACTAAAAAACTCCTCTTCGGAGCGAACAACTCTGGGACTCTGGTAGGTGATGACGAAACCGAGCGTGAAATCCGCTTAGCAGAGAGTATCATTAGCAAATTAAGTATTCAAGACTTGTTTGATTTAAAAATTTCTTTGCCTTATTGTAGTTGTCACTATCAAGGAGTAAGAAAATTGAGTAGCTTAATATTTATACTAAAAAATGATCTACATGGATCTCGAGACAATTAAGTAGTCAGCCACCTCACTTAAGTCGACCAACTAAGCTCTCTCCCTCAACCACCTCACTTCAGTTGACCGACAAAGCTCTCTCCCTCAGCCAACTCATTTCAGTCTGTCGACTAACTCTCTCTTGCATCGATCTCAAGACATCTAACCGTCAAAATAAAAAAGGACTAAAATGTCTTTTGCTTATTTCTTTAAGGCATGACAAAATATATAATTTTTGTATATTTTTTACCCCTCCGGTCTTCTATAAATAGTAGGGCTTCATGATGTAAAAGTAACCATCAGCTTGGAGAAGTCGTCCTCTTCTCTCTCTCACTCATTTCTCTCCATCTCTCAATCACCTCCTCGGTTCATTGCTTCATTTCTTGGGCACGCCATACTATACAAATTCAGATCCAACAACAACAAAATATTATAAATATAAATATCAAATTTCAATGCTTAGATATGAAAAAAATATAAGAATTTTAATATTCTAATTTCTAAGCGCTTCAATTTAACATAACATTTATCTTTTATTTAATATTGATTATATATATATTCAAATATTAAGTTGCAATTCTCTCAATAAAAATAAAATAAAATAAAATAATTCAAACAATATCTTCTCTTGATTAAAGGGAGCAAAAAAAATCCCTCATTAATATAAGCGCAAAACATTTTCTTCATTTTGATTTGCTCAACCAAAAGGTGGACCCAACTATTTTTTTTTTCATATATGGATTGCTCATTTTGAATCTATTTAGGGGCAGAAATAGGTTATGTTCACTATAGACATTTATACTCTAAAATTGAGATGTCTCTATGTAAATAATAAAATATAATATTTGTTCTCTTATGCAATTTATGTAACATAGTAATTTTGCACCCCACCTCCAACCCCCCAATTCTCCATATATTTTTTTGTCCAATGCCTAAAAAAATTAGACTTGACTTGCTTATTAAAAGGATTGAGTCAAATACATGCTTCAAAGCAAGCCACATGAGCTTTTAATGAACAATGGAATTTTCAACATGCTAAATATTTAATATTTAATTGATAACTTGCATTAATAAAAAAATAAAGGAGATTTTAAGCTTTTTGAGTGAAACTTCAAGTATAGATTAGAAAATTGGTTAGATATTGACTTCTTTATCTACAAATGACACACATGTTTAAGATCTTTGAAAGATATCAAACTTCCTATGTAGAAGCTTAGAAATAGACTAAGGGCCCGTTTGGGGCAGCTTATAAGTGCGGTGGCGTTTTTTTATAGAAGCTTATATGAGTTTGTTTTGTACGTTTGCGCAACTTATAAAATAAGCCCGTTTTTTATTTGGAGAAAAGCTGATCGCGGGTCGATACCCGCGATCAGCGTTTCGAATGCGCGATTGGGGATATTTTACGCCTACTCCCTCTTGCCCTAAAACATTATTCGAACTCCTCCGCCTCCAGCTCCGCTGTTCCTCGCGCCCGAAGCACCACTCTGTCTCGCGCCGAAGTTTTGTTAGCTTTTCATTAGAGATACAAGTTAATGCATATAAGATTATTTTGTATAGAACCACAAATGAACTTCAATTATTTTATTTTTTGAAAGACTTGAGAAGGTATTATTGATAATAGAGAGAACGAGAGAAAAAAAAAGAAAAGAAAATCACCATATTTTTATTTATAGAGAACTTCTAAATCATAAACTCGTATCTTTTTGAGATACTAAAAATTACTTTTCTAATATTTATTTAACAATTATTTCAATTTTCCCCACTTCTAATTTTTGTGCTCTTAAGTATGGAAAAAATATTTTGTCCGATGTACAGACGGTCAATCGCCCCGCCCCCCGCCGATGACTGTATGACGACGTGACCATCGGTGATTGGTCGTCCAGACTTGCGGTGTTCGGACAACATATTTTCTCCTCAATATGACCTACTCAACCTCGAAAGAAAACTAACCTCAAGAGAACCAATCCCTAATTTCTTGCACAAAACATAATAATTGCGAGCCACCATAATATTTTTTTGACCTTCATGATTAGCATAAGGAGCTACCCAACCTAACTCTTATCATCTATCTTCACTTTCGTTGGGTGGGGACGGCGACCGTGACAAAATGCTTATGTTAGCATCAATTGGGAAAAGAATGATACAACCTTTGGATATAGATGAAAAGTAAGGTCATGTGTAAGTCAGCTCTCTATATTTTATGTTTCAGACCTTCATAATAATTCTATTTGTGAAGTAATTTTTTACTGCTTTTCAGTAATTTATGTGAAATTATAACGAAAGAGAAAATATAATTTTAAACCCAACCAATGTGAAAATAAATACAAAGGCTTTATAAAGGGTCCGTTTGGGGTTTATTTGGTGAAGTAGCATTTTGAAAACGCACATAATCTGTTTGGGTAAACTGCATTTTGACAGCTTATGCATTTTGAAAATGCTGAAAACAACATTTTCACACTAGACATATCTAGATGCAGTGATAACTTTCTGGCAACGGTCTAGCTTTTTCAAAAAAATAAAAATTTATAATAATCATCACATCTAATTTATCAACATATTATTCAATAAACTGCAGCTAAAGAGACCTAAATCAGTACAGAAAATAATTAAAAAAAAAACAAAAAAAGAAAGAGAATTACACTTCCGCTATGGTGTTCACCGGAGTCTTCATTGACTCCCTCCTCTCCATAGTCAACCGAAACGAAAGCTCCCGTATGGTCGACAGAACCGGCCGTCGACGGACCCGGCCTCCACGGCTTGCCCCGCCGGGCCTTCGAACCCACTCCGACCGGACTCTCTTCGCTATCGGTCTCAAGCACGGGACGCCGGTTTCCTTTGTCCGGTCTGCAGTTGGCCGACCGGCGAGCCTTAGCGGTGAGCCCGTTGGCGAGGGCGACCAAGTCGACCGGACCGGCTTGGAGGGCGGAGTGTGGGAGAAGGAAGTAGAATCTGCCCGGTTCGAGCTGCTCGTCGCCGCAGAGCGGTTTGGCGACCCCGGCGAGCAGTTGAATCGGCGTGAAAAGAAGTCGGTACGGCGGCTTGCCGGTGACCTCACTGGCGGTGATGGGAGGATCGAAGCCCTCCACGTGGCCGTTGATGTGCATCACCCGCACTCCATTGTACGGTTCTGATTCATCGAAGCAGCACCCGAAGCAGCGCCCCATCGCTCTCTCCCTCTCCCTTACTCCCTCTCTCTCTGGCGCTTATTTGGAAAAGGGGGCCGCGGAAGAAATTTGTATCGATGTTGGGCAAAAGATAAAAGTAATTTACTAAATTGCTCTTATGATTGATGGTATTTACAATATTTGACCGGATAGCGGGTTTTTTGAATTGGTCCTTCATAATTTTAAAAATATATGTTGTTTTTTTAGGACTTAGGATCACATACTATTCATGGGTTGAGAAAAAAAGTTAAGAGCAACTCGTGAGAAGAGAGTCTTTCCTCCCATTTTTTTTTTCTTTTTATTTTTTCATGTGATCGCTATTTATAAGCCTTATGATGTAGTTGAACTTGACAGTTCTTCAGTTATGCAGCTTAATCAGTTCTCCAACTATGTAGTTTTACCATCTCTTGTAATAGACAATTCAACCAGTTCTTCTGATATGCAGTTCAACATGTTCTACTACTAAGTTGTTCAACAACTTCGGCGGTCAGACAATTTGACAGTTTCGACAGTTAGGCAATTCAGTAATTTTATAGCTAGGCAATTCAAAAATTTGGCAATCCAGCAATTCCCCAACTGAGCAATGCAACAATTAGGGAGTTGGGCAGTTTGGCGGTTGGGTAACTCATAAGGTCTTTTTAGGCGTATACGATATATATTTTTTATTCACTTTCTTACATATGTATTATATTGCTATAATCGATAATCATTGTTCATGTAATAGCATGAACTCTCATCCATCAAAATATTTTCTGATACGACTTAATGACCTCACGATTTTGTCACATTGATGTAACTTTTGAGGTCACCCATTCTAAGATTACTCCAATGCAAGCATACTTGACTTTAGAGTTTCAATCAAAACTCCAACCTTACACTAAAATGTGCCTCAATGTTTAAGAGTTCAATTTTATTATAATTAAGGGGTTTCACAATCTCTCTCATTTAAGTAACATGAGTCCTCATTAGTGTTCTAAACCTAGAATCATTCACAAGCCAAATAAGACGTTAGTGGTGGCCCCTACAAATTCAAGAGGTCGCTTGCATCAATCATATAACACTTTGTCCCAAATATAGTTTAAGAGGTGGTTCCCATGACATAACATTTTATTATATATAACACTTAGTTCCCAGCTTCAAATTGGTATAATGCTCATGTATCATTTGTAACAACCCCAATGCTTCAATACCATTTGTCACAACCCGAACTCTCACCTATTGATATATTACCTGCTTTGGCCTAATGACATCACAATTTTATCCTATTGGTGTAAGTTCTTAATAGGTCACTCATCCATGGAGCACTCACAAATGAGCACGCTTAACTTTAAAGTTTCTATCAAAATTCTAACTGTTACGCCAAAATTCATCTCTATGTTAAAAAATTTAGCTTCATTTCACTTGAGTGGTTTCATGATTGATGCTTTTACAAAGCTTTGCAACTTTAAATTTTAATTAATAATAAAATAGGCCAATTGTCATATTTTTGGTACGTTATACTTTGATAAAAAGGACGAGCTTAACAAACTGATTTTTTATAAAATTATATGTATCCCATTCAACTTGGTCATGGTAAAAAGATTGGCCAATAAAAGTTATCTTCATCGCTTTCCCCCTTTATTGTCATTATTATCTTGTGCAAAGCCATCTATAACAACTGACATTTATTATATAATAATCAAGCAGATATCTCATGTATGCATAAATAAGATATGCTGTGTGCATGTCATAAAATATATGAGGTTTCTTTCATAAAAAATTCAGGGATCATCAAGGATTAGTAGCGCATTAGTCTATAATTTTACTTATAACAGGAGAGAACGACAATGACTAAGAAAGTAAGCATTAAAATTCGAAGAGACGAAGTCCGTTAGCATTGGTGTTGACGACGAATATCAATATTTTTGACATTTATGAGAATCAATGTTATTGGTGATGGTCAATGTTAATCTTATCATTAACATCGAGTGACAACATTAGTGTCGGTATTATGCACTGATCCTTTTAGCAATGACATGCATTTATAAATGTATTAATACCGTGCATTAGTTTTGTTATCAATGATAGATGTTGATATTAGCAGCGATAACAGTGATTAATATTATTGTCAATGAACATCATATTTTTTATTGATTACATGCATCAATTTTATGTTGTTTCTCTCATTGAAATTTTTTTTAACCATAAATTTTCTAAAAGTGAATTTTATAAGTGCTTAAATGTTATTTTACAAGCATTTAACTAAAATATTGTATGAAGCTTTTTACTTGATTGAATCAAATTATTTGGATAATTTATTTATTAAAAAAGTGGAGGAAGCCCCCAAATCTCCTCTTGCAAATTAAAGCTAATCTACACTAAGTTTTTTTTTTTTATTATTCTTACAACTCTAATTGTATGGCTAATGGTCGATTGCACATTGCTTTGATTAATATAATAGCTAAACTTCGGCCATATATTTGATCATTTATTTCTAGATTTATGACAATTTTCAAATTGATGTTGCATGTCTAGGGTTGCAACTGAACAACCTTCAACAAATTGCACGTGACTCAGCTTGATTAAGGCTCATTCATGATCATTTGGTTAGCTAATTGAATAAATTTTGATAATTTCATAAATTCTCAGCTGCTAAATGAAGGAGCATAGACAATTTATTATTTGATTTATTTATGCTTATGAACAATATCATTTAGATAACTGGATTAAAATTCATCCTTCTGCAGTATTATTTAAATATTAATTCTCTCGGTTCAACAAGCTTTAATTGAAACAACTCGTTTATTCTTCCAAACAAGTTGCTCTTATATTGCTCCATTAAGACTTGACTTTAGCTCACCTAACTTGTTAAACGAAACATTCGTTAATAAGCTCGATAATTTTTACATAGATCAAGCTCTAATTGAACTCGAGCCCAACTCGAACATGTTTCTAATAATAAGATGAGCTCGAACACATTCCTAAAAGCTCTAATCGAGCTAAAGCCCTTCCCAAACAAACCTTTCATAAAGCAAACTAGGGCTTGCAAAACCATCTACTCGGCTCATTTTGTTTGCAGCCATATGCACGATTTTCATGGATCATTTTGCTAGAATTAACTTATCCTTGAAGTGACGTGCCTAACCATGCCATAAATCTAAAAAAATATGATGCCATATGTGATCATCATTTCATATAAATTTGTTGCTCAGTGGTTAAATACACATGATATATTTTTCAAATATGTTCCCATTTGCTATGAAGCCCATCAAAAGTGGTATAGTTACACATGCATAAGATAATTCTTTCATAACTTTAAATTTTGATGAGCATATGATTTAATATCTTTGTCTTTAGTGGGGCAAATATCTTCAACAATCTTAAATTTGCTGCTACTGCAACTGAGCAATAGCTGCTACCATTAATGGTATTTCGGATCTGGATACTTAAGAATCCGATCCGAATGAACAATTAAGAGGGCCAAGGGTATTTTTGACACAAAAGATATTATACAAATAATTTTAAGTTTGCAAAATCAACCCCAATCATGCAAGCGAAGGAGGCCGTCCCTAGCCGGCCAGCCATTAAGGGATTGGCTGTCATCTCCATCGCAAACTTCCAAGAGAAAACTGCTGAAAAATAATTATATGACAACGGCTGTCATAAAATTATGCAACCATCATATATATATATATATTACAATTTATATTTTTTTAATATTTAAATTATTGTGTCTGATTATTTCAGGTGAGGGAACGAATTTATAACATTAATATAATATAAAAACCTCACAAACATAAGAATATTGTGTTTCACAAATTAATAAATAAATAAATAAAATTATGTGATATGACTGAAAATTTTTTGCAGATGAGTTTAGAAAAATTTCAATCTTAAATTTAAAATCATTCAGGCACTTATTTTAATAAAATCAACAATTTTATAGCCAAATTGAATAGCCGATGGTACTAAAAGTGATTCGATTCAAGCTGAAGTAAGCTCGGATCAAGTATCTGAAGCGTAGTTAAAAATTTTGAAATATTAATTAAGAGATCAAATGATCTCTAAATTTGGCATGACTTATAGCCAAATTTAGGGAATCGACAATTGAAATCTAATGAGCCGTAGATTGGGCAGTAGGTCGCAGACGACTTGAGATCATCGTCAAACAGCACTAGCGGCTATTATAACTCGTTTTTTATTCTCAGCTGATTATTTCGTTATTCTTACAACTTAGTCAAAGTTTTGTAACCTCATCTTCTATGAGAGAAGAATGAAAATATGTTCCTCAGAATATATAGTGAATTATTTTCGCGTGAGGCCCTCGAATATTTTTGATTTTTTACGTAAAATTTTATCGTCTTCACTTTTATTACATTTTTATTCGTGTGTGTTGGATCTTTTCATACAATACTAAGATAGTGATTTATCACTATGCCGTCATAAAATTTCTAGCATGTAATAATATAAAAGATTAATATGTTGAAAAATTACATTACATACTTGGTTGAAAATGTTTTATAGTACAAAATGGGACATATAATAATTTACTCTTTTTTTCATTAAAGAAGGCAAGCATACAAGGAAAAAATATTGGCGTTGATTGGATGCAAATGATGGAAAAACAGAGATGTTAGTGTCATTCAGTGGCATACAATGACATATGATGGACATCAATGCCATCAGAGGCATACCATGTTACTTTTAGTTGATGAAGATAAATATTAGCAGTGAATGACAACATCTATCAATGGTGTTGATAATGGGCAATAGCAATAAGCAACAATAAGCGTTGATGAGGGTTTGCAACAGTCATTCAATTCTATTGCTTTAGATCTGAGTTAAACCTGAAATTCTCTTCTCTATAATTCTCTTTGAATGTGTAAAATTATGATTTTTTTTTATAGATTTATAAATGGGAGATTCTTGTTAGCAGTCATTTTTCCAAGAAATTAGGATACATCATTGAATAGTTGAAATTGAAAACCTTGATCATTCATATGTCTCAAAGTTTAAAGGCAGGGGATTGTTGATTCATCTCATTGAGATATTGATTTGGGCTATGTGC